GATAAACCAGCAGGAATCTTCACCAGGAAGATCAGGTACAGCAGACACGAAATGAGCATGTACCTCCTGCCTGTGGTGATATCAGACAACGACTTCCCGATTCAGAGCAGTACGGAGACAGTGACCATTCGAGTGTGTGCCTGCGACCACCGAGGCAAGATGCTCTCTTGTAATGCTGAGGCGCTGATCCACCCCACCGGCCTCAGCACAGGCGCCCTGATCGCCATTCTTCTCTGCATCATTATTTTGCTAGGTAAAGGCGACTGGCCGGAGGGGAGCAGTTCTTGGAGAGGGGGGACAGGGTATATATTGATAGGCGTGTATTGTAACGTGAATGTCTATTTATATACTTTATTTATAGTCCGCCTTTCTCACTGGGACTCAAGGTGAATTACACAGAGGTCCGTTCCGCACTTGGATCTCATCCCTGATTTTGTCAGAGTTCAACTTGCGACATAATAACCTTGCGTTTATCCCTGGTTATAACAGCATCTGTTTATTTGGAGAGCCAGTTAGGTGTAGTGGTTAAGTGTGCAGACTCTAATCTGGGAGAACCGAGTTCGATTCCCCACTCCTCCACTTGCACCTGCTGGATGACCTTGGGTCAGTCACAAGCTCTGGCACAGCTGTCCTTGAAAAAGAGCAGTTTGTGTCAGAGTTCTCTCAGCCCCACCCACCTCACAGGGTGTCTGTTGTGGGGAGGGGAAGGGAAAGGAGTTTGTAAGCCGTTCTGAGACTCCCTTGGATAGTGAAGGGTGGGGTATAAATCCAATCTTCTTCTTCTATCCCGTTACAAGTGTGGGGTGAAACTGGAGTGACCTCAATGTAATGTGGAAACCAAAAATACCCTGAGATAATCACAGCGGTGAACTCACATGTAGTTTAGAATGTAAGTTTGGAGATAGGGCTGAACCAGGATTTAAGGCCTAGTGCGCAATCACCCCGAGTGAGTCAATACAGTCAACAGGACAGGACATTGAACGAACCATGAAATAGGATTAGGGTTGTAGCACCAGCCAGAAGTCTAAAAACAGAACTGGAGCAAAGCATCAGTCTTGACAAAATACTTTAAATGGTGCCAAATTCCATAGTAGGTTCCTAGTTTTGAGAAGCGGTACACAGTAGTATAGACCGCAGTCCCTAATAATTTTTCTAAGTCGCTTTGTGAATCATTTAGTACCGTGCAAGTCTGTTGCCTGTGCAGAAAAGTTCTCTTGGATAATGCAGTTTTGCATAGTTTTTTTGGAAAGCCAGTGGGAGCAGTGTTCCCTCTAAGCTGAGTGATTTTAGTCCTAGCTCAGGAAGGAGGGCTCCAGGGCAAACTGATTTATGCAGCAGCCCAATCGCTCGCTCACAACTTTAATGCCCGTAGCTCACAAAGTAGAATTTTTGCTCATGAGACTCCACAGCTTGGAGCGTTGAGTGGGAGCCTTGCTGGCCCCCAGAGGCAGGCCACTCCACAAAGTGGGGGCCACAGCAGAGAAGGCCCGTGTACGGGCAGTCGTTGATTTTGCCCATTTGCAGGCCGGCACCTGCAGGCGGCCCTGCTCAGATGAACGAAGCTGCCATGTCAAAGCACAGAGGGAGAGGCAGTCTCATGAAAGTGAATGTCCAAGGCCATGAAGGGCTTTGTATGTGAGAGCCAATACCTTAAATTGAACCCAGTAACTAGTGGACAGTTAAGTGTGTAATCATCCAGTATCTCACAAGAAGTTTCCTTTAGGTTCTGCTTCGTTTTTGCAGTTCTTCCATGGATCCTTCCCCCTCTCGAATGCCCACAAAAAAGCAGGCATAATTCAATGGAGGGTGACCGATCCTCTCACCGAATCCACAGGTATTGGACGTGCCTCAACTGTACCCCTCGGCCTCAGTCGTAGATGTGCCTGTCACCAACAGAATCCGTTAGAAACAGCAGCCTCCCTTGACAGAGATGCCACGGCCCTAAGCACAAGAGTAATGGGAAGGTCCCAGGTTCAGTCCCCACTAGGATCAGGTAGTAGGCGATGTGAAAGATCTCCCCCCTGAGACCCTAAAAAGCAGCTGACTGTGATAAACCAATAGTCTGGCGCTATGAAACGCAGCTGCCTGTGTTCATAAACACTAAACCCGAACAAGTGTGCACATACACCCATTTACGAACAACACAGCTCACAGAGTGGCTCATTATAACTGCATTCTACAATCATACGCTGGCTCTACCTTACGCAGGTCCACATAACCCAGAGAGTGCCCCAGCCAGGAGGTTGCGATCCTGCCTGCTCTTTGGCCCCAGAAACACAGGTACAGCTTCCCCACTGACCCCTAGCCCCAGTCACCTCCAGGTTGTGGCGGATCCATCAGTACCCAGTGGGTGCGTTCAGACAGGGCATTTGTGCCGGTATAGATGCCGGTTGGAATCATTGTACTTACAGGAGATCACACGGCGAACATCTGCCTTTCGTCCCTAACCGTTGCAAACAGCTTTAAACCATTGTATTCTGCTACTAGCTCCCCAAGTGGTGGTATCCTGAGTGCACCAGTTCCAACCACATTATCCCCGTCTGATCGCTCTCCACTGGTGTCTATCCACTTCTGTTCGGAAGCCCGAGGCTTCTGCTTTTCGGCTGTCATTTTTTTTTAAGTCTCCTCGATGTGCGCTTGGGTGATGCTTCGCCCCGGCGTTTGTAAAACAAACAAAAAGAAGGGCCTAGTGTAAGGCTTTAGATGAGTCCGGGACCTCACGGAGGCCAGTTTCAGAGTAAAAATTTAAAGGGACATCTTCGTTTCAAGGCATGCTTTCCGGGTTGGGTTGTTCTGCGCCTGCGCAAAGATCTTCATTATAAGGAAGCCTGCCTATGCGCATGTGCAAACTGTGTAAAAAATTTTAAAAACCACCGATGCGCTCTGCTGAGCGCCTGAAGTGTGGACGGGCATATCGCGATGTGCTGCGCAGTCAGGAGGTAAGTGTGATCACGTTTCTTCTGGATCAAACTGCTCCGGTTCCAACCGGAGCAGTTTATGCCGGCTGAAATGCCCCGGCTGAACGCACCCAGTGAGATCTAGGCTGGATCTGTAAGTGTTCCATTGGGCCATGGGTCCCCAACCATGGTGCCCATTGACATCTTTCCTGTCTTCAGAACGTGAGAGGGGCCAAGTGGGGTTTTTGCTCATCAAGGCTTCTGATTTGCCCGTGCAGAGCTGACCTGCAGCTATTTCAAAAATGTTGCTTTGAAGAAGAAGAGATTAGATGTATACCTCACCCTTCACTACCCGAAGGAGTCTCAGAGCAGTTTACGATCTCCTTTCCCTTCCCCTCCCCACTACAGGCACCCTGTGAGGTAGGTGGGGCTGAGAGAGGTCTTTCGAGGACTGGCCTGGAGAGAACAGCTCTGAAAGAACTTGTAACTGACCCAAGGCCACACTAGCAGGCACATGTGGAGGAGTGGGGAATCAAACCCAGTTCTCCCAGATTAGAGTCCCCGCTCCTGACCACTACACCTAACTGGCTTTGGCGGCAGCTGCCACCACATAAGGATTTTAACAGTATGGCTGAAGGTAAGCTGCGGCAGTAGCCATTCTGTGGCTGGCTCTACCCTCTGTGGCAGCCATTTTGTGGCTGGGCCCACCTTGCCGTTTCAGAATTCCAAAGGTGCCCACAGGCTGAAAAGGGTTGGGGACCCCTAAATTAGGCCCACGCAGAGGCATCCAGGGGATCTCGGTCTTTTACCCTTGGATCTGTTTGGGGTCCGGCTTTACGGGCTGTACAGGGGGCTGCTGCTAAGAGTTTGGGACTCAGAAACCGGACAAGTCTGGATTCCAGCCCTAAAGCTGAAACAGATGGAACATGCAACACATGCTGGTTTTCAATTAACTGCGGCTATATCTTTATTTTCTCGGTGTGCTTTCAAGTTTTGTGTATATGCATTCTCAGCACTGTGTAAAACAAAGCCACAGAAGGATCTGAATTACGGTTTCTGTTCTTAGCAGTAACAAAGGCAGATAAATGTTGTTGGGGGGTGGATTTTTGTTTGTTTGTTTCTGGCTGTACGGTAGATTTGACTTTCAGCCTGAGAAAGCCCAGTCTACGTACTGCGAAATCCTTCATAATGCTAAGGATTTCTGAGGGGTGGGGTAGGCAAACCACATCAACAACTCAGCTTTACATGTATTTTAACATTCCACCGAGCATCGGGGAAGCTTATTTTAGAAGTTCACGTTAAAAGAAAAACAGAGTATCAAAAGCACAGTTCTATTGAGAGCCAAGTCACTTAGTGATTCGAGCAAATCCTATTTGAATATTCATTTCTTTCAGCGAAATCTCATTCAGGCTGACATTAAAGAGGTAGGATTTTTTTAAAAAAAAACACAACACAAATCAGCTCTGAGGTTTAGAGTTGTTGTGTACTCGATGACACGGGGCACAAACATTTAGCAAAAGACAGTTTCGGGGCGGAAAGAGCTTACGATGAAAGCACGAAGAACAAACCAAGCTGTGCAGTGTGCATCACTTGGTCAAAAAGCGGGGTGTCTCGGGCCAGATAGGATCAGATATTTGTGAGGGGCCCCCAATAGTGCTACCATTTCATGGAGCAACCAAAAGGGAAGGTAAGAGAATTCTCACTTTGCCTTCTACTCCAGGTTGTGGGAAGGGGGACACTTAAGATGCCTAGTGTGAGATTCCTCTTGTTCCCAAACCCCTTGACTGTTTCCCCAGATGAAATGGGGGGGGTGAAGAGGAGGGCCTCACTTTGGCCTCAGAATTCGGAAGGGGAAGGGGATATGGCCCCCTTGTATTCTTCCTTCCCTGGACTGGTTTACTCTGGCCTTCTCTGTCTCCTTCTGGTAGTAGGGTTGCCAAATGGGCCCGGGGGGCGGGGAATCCCCTGCTTCGGAACCCCGATTTCTGCCCCGGCGAAATTGGGGCCTGGGGGCAACCCTGCCCCCGAAGTTGCGTCACCAGAGGTGACGCAGCCACGTTGCTGACGTTGGAAGCGTGGCTGAGCTCGTCGCGGCGGGGGAAAACCAATGGGTTTCCCCCCCCGACAAGCTCGGCCACGCCCCCAACGTCAGCAACGTCGCACGTCACTTCTGGTGATGTGCTGCCGGCGTGCATGCATTTTGCGCGCACACGCGCACTTCACGGAGACCTCCCGGACGCCAGCAAGGCTCCCCCGCTCCGAGGGATGAGTTGATTTGGCAACCCTATCTGGTAGCTAGAATTTTGTGGTAATAAAGCGTAGTGACCATGTAGCCCACTTTTGCTGAAACTTTACAGATAACTTATTTTTCGCAGGGTCAGAAATAGTGCCACCTGAGAGCCTTAGCAATCACAGATAGAAATACCGGTGAGGGCAGCAGGCAAAATAATCCAAGAATATCCATAATGTAAGGTTTAGGCTTTGTTGCTATTGGCTGTCCACACCATGTGGTACTGTACTTAGCATATCAGGCTGGACTTGGGAGACTCCGTTCAAATCCCTGCCCCGCCATGCTGCTCACTGGTTGACCTTGGGCCAACCACCCTTTCTCATCCTAACCGACCTCACAGGATTGTTATGAGGATAAAAGGAGGGAGGGAAGAACAGTGTGTGCTGTTGTCCAAAGGAGTAGCTGCTGATACCTTTTTATCCTTTGGAAATCACGGGCATAACTCCTAATCGATAATTTTCTAAGTGCCCAGTCCTTTTTACAACACTCAGAATATAGAGACATATAAGGTAAATTAACTTTTAGAATTACAGGTTCCACATACAGGGGAGAGCACGATATAAATCAAATTTATTATTGTTGTTGTTGTTGTTGCTGCTATTATTATTATTATTATTATTATTATTATTATTAT